ACCTAATGCGAATTCACCAACTGATTAAAAGTTCAACCTGGTTTAACGAGCAATAATACGGTTATAACACACAACAGAGGTTAATGATCATATTCAATGTCTGTATTAAGCTTATGTAAAATAATTAAGAGACAAGAAAATAACACGTAATATAGGCCATGGCCACAGACCCTACATTATAAGGTCTGTATAGGCGAACATCTCGGGTAACAACTACATTCCTGAACCATCGCACATGTTCGTACAATTTCCATGTACAGTGATCAAGCCAGTCGGCTATTTTCAGCATTTGACATTCTTTCCTTGTCTCCGATGACATTCCTGAATTGGCGGCGTACAAAGACAATCGTCTCCGATAACGTCCTTGAATTGGCGGCTTTCAAAACTTTCTTTATTCTCCCAAGAGTATCACTGGACCCCACTTGTGAGAACGTTTCTCACTGAATTAATTATTACTAGGCAACTTAGTACTGGCAAATTGATACCTATTTAAAGCAATGTATTTCCATTCATGCCTAGATTTAATTATGAATTAATTATTTAAATACGGTAACCAATCAATCACTTTTCTGGAACGTATAATCGTCTTGCAATAGGTACGCTTGTTTAATCGTACATATATAATTATAATGCAGGATTAATTAATTATATACTTTATTCTAAGATACAAATCAAGTTTCTTGATAAGTTACAGCTATAGTTAAATTAAATTTCTCCTAAGCAATAAAGTTTCAACTTAGAATATTTTGCAGGATAAAATAAACACTTCTTTACTAAAATTATGCTATTAAAACTACTTCGTAAAACAATGAATCTTAATAATAAAGTATTTCGCCATACGTACTTTCAAGAACATAATAAGGTCTTGTTTTGTAAACTGGCATAGGACCTATTCTATTTTTTCAGTAAATGTTTTTTCATACACGATTTCAAACAAAATGTTTTGTTACACAACTACTGGAGTAGGGAGTTCAATCAACTCACTCTGGCTAGACAATGAACATGCTTGCTTTATCAGATAAGACAAAAGATATCAAATAACGTCTCCGTGGTAACGTTAACTTTAAACCCTACTACTCTAGTATTGTTGCTTTTTATTGAGTAACAAACGATTGAATCGATAGCATGAATCGTGTACATATTTGAGTAATAAATAATTAAGAAACGAATATCATATGTATGAACTTTAGAAACACTTTAGTGGAGGAAACCAATTTTCAACCTATTCTTATATAAATTATATATGTATACATATTTAAATATATGTGGCCTATATATAAATCA